AATCGAATTTAAGCATAAAGTCATAGGAGCATGATTTCTATTGGAAAACAATCAGATAAAGTCCTAGGAGCATGATTTCTACTTGGTAGAGCAAATAGATATTAAAGTAAAGTCCTATGAGCATGATTTCTACCCGAATTACCCCATAAAATATGTATCTACCCACCCTTTTCACTAAATACCCCAATATTTGTTTACAAGTTATTATAGACCAATGAATGAGCTACACCTCGTATGTTTAACAACCTTACCATAATATATATTCGATATGGTATTTTAAGTTGAATACATTCTGAAAAAAAATAGTTTGAAAAATAGGATTTTATATAGTTATTGATATTACTACTTTCGAATATGTTTTAAATTATACGTACAATATGATTATAAAGATAGAAATTATTTTCTCACATGAAAAGAAGGTCGTCGTTTTTATCATTTTAAGAATTAAGCATACGAAAATTTGTATTCTTTATACGAGATTAAGAAAATTATAAGTTGAGAAAATATATGTATTTTTACATGGATATTTTAATAAAATAATAGTGTATACATTTATTTTATATGGTACTCCATAATCAAGATGGTAAGTTATAAAAACTTATTAAAAAGTGAGTAGTATTTTAATTAAATTGAGATAATCCTTAATTATGTGGGTAATTGATTAATTATTGGGTAACTAATTAAAGAGTGGGATAAGATTTAATGGCTAAGTAATAAAAAATGCAAGGTGTCTTTGAAAGAAATGTGACACCAAACATTACTCAAGTAAGGCTACCTATTATGTCTCTATACAGCTTTTTCCTATTTTACACTGCCAAAATTTTCGTTCCCTTTACCTTTTCACACCTTCTGAAAGACTATGGCAGCAGAATCTTTTCTCTTCAATATTGTAAACTCCATCTTAGGAAAATTAGGATGAAATGCACTTCAAGAATTTAACTTAATTTGGGTTGTTAAAAATGAGCTTAACAAATTAAAGAAAACCTTAATTACCATTAGAGATGTACTCTTAGATGCTAAAGAGCAAAAAATCAAGAATCATGAGTTGACAAATTGGCTTGAGGAACTTAAAGATGTACTTTATGTTGCTGATAATTTTCTTGATGAAATTCAGACTTATGGTCAACAAATGCAAAGGCTTAAATCCAAGGTTGGGTTTTTATTCTCACCCTTTAAACTGATTCTTTTTAGATACAAAATGAGTCATAAGATGAATGAAATATGGGAGAGGTTAGATAGTATTGCAGCTGATAAAGCTATATTTCACTTAACTGAGAGAATTATTGCCTTAGAAATGAAAAGGGATTTGACATATTCCTTTATACTTCCAGATGTTGTTGGAAGGAGGAATAAGAGTGAAGAGATTGTTGAAGTTCTAATGCAGGAAAATGGTTTTGATGAGTGTCTCTCTGTGGTTTCAATTGTTGGAATTGGAGGTGTGGGGAAAATCACACTTGGTAAATTAGTGTACAGAGACGAGATGATAGTAAAGAATTTTCCTTTGAGGATTTGGTTGTGTGCCTCACAGGATTTTGATGCCATAAAGTTGGCTAGGAACATTGTTAATTTGGCGATTGGTGTATCGTGTGATAACTTTAATGTTGAACAAGTGCACTCTTCACTTCAAGATGTTTTGCATGCGAACAGATTTCTACTCATCATTGATGATGTTTGAAGTCGAGATCGTTCAAAGTGGTTAGAATTAAGAAGTTTGTTGATGGTTGAAGCGCGTGGAAGCAAGGTTGTTGTGAGCACTCGTAGATATTATATTGCCTCAATAATGGAATCTGTTGTTACATACAGCTTGAAAGAACTACCGCATGAGGATTGCTTCTCTTTGTTTCTGAAATGGGCGTTTAGAAATGGACAAGAGAGACATTTTCCAAACCTAACTAAAATTGGAGAAGATATTGTAAAGAAATGCATAAGAGTGCCTTTGGCAAGGAAGACTCTAAGTAGTATGTTATATGCGACAACTGATGAAAGGGAATGGTTAAAAGTGAGAGACGATAAGTTATGGCAACTAAAACAGGATAATAATGATATCTTACTTGCACTAAGGTTAAGCTATAATCAGTTGCCATATTACATGAAGCAATGATTTGCTTACTATTCGATATTTTCCAAGGGTCAAGTTAATCGGTTCAGGTATGTTAAGGCTATTCTTTTTTCCTTTTGGCATGATCCGCACGATACAAATGAAACGAGCAAATGCACAACTTTTATAAATAACTCTATTCCTAGAAATACTAAAGGTTCCTATGTTCTTGATTCCCCATATGTATTTTTATTCTATCATCTGTTCATGGGTCTCAAAAATACGTAAGTTGGTAATGTTTATTTCTTGATATTAATAAGAGGCATAATGGTCTTATGACGTACTAAGAGATTTTCTTAACGTTTTTAAATGCATTTCATGCATTTATACATGCACTCATGACCAGATGTTGTTATATACGCGTATTTATATCTATATATATATATATATATATATATATATATATATATATATATATATATATAT